GTATATCTCTCTCATGTCCTTCATTGCCTGCTGCAGACTCTTACTGGCACTCTCTCCATTCTTAAGATGSGCATAGAATTTCAGCATGAAGAACTCTGTTGCTGAGTCATCAATAGCCCACAATGACGCTACAACGGCACGAGCTCCTGCAGCAAGAAAGGCTCGAGTCATTCCAACAACTCCTTCAGACTTGATGTCTCCTCGACCACTGTAGCAGCAACTGAGGACAACCAGTTGAGCACGAATTCCACTCTCTTGTACTTCTTTCATGGTCAAGATGCAGTCCTTCTCCTCTGCTGGACTCGAGTACGTCGTAGGTTTAGAAGGAGCRAGAGCAATCTGTCCATTTTCCTTACTACCATGTGCAGCAAAATGGATAATTGACAGACCTTGTTGAAGTCTTCTTAGGACTGTTTCTTTTGTTGCTTGAGTCCCTATCAATGGCTGTACACCAAGAAGATTACTAATCTGTATGGCTTCATCCTCGGCACCGGGTAACGGAGTRAACATCACTGTACGACCATTACGCCTGACATGTCCAGTTGTTGGGTTTCCAATGATCAGAGCTCCTGACTAAAAACAAATAAAGCTTAACGTCAAGATAAAAAGGAAAAATTAACTGATGGCACAATACATCAACTTTGTTTGGGATGCCTTTCTTTCCGGTATTGGAATGTTAAAACATCCCTCATTTGAATTTTTTTCCACACATAGATAAATTGTTTGGTTCGAAAAAGTGTAATAGAGTTTCTGGTGGTCCAAGCATTCTTCTTTGTGGAGCTCGGGCTGGGGCTTCATGAGCATCAGTACTCATTCAGAAGACCAAGACTGAGACACTGAATACGACTGCTCCAAACACGGAATTCAACTTCTGAAAACATTGCTGTTCAAGTTTAGCGTCGGTGTTTCTTCTTTTTATGAAAACTGCCTCGTATACAATGCTTATAGGCCGCAGCTGAATAACGAGAAACGTCGCTAATCTTGAACAATATTATTGAGGGACTAGTTGAGGTATTTTGTATCTCATACCGGTATGTTCAATAGAAACCAATTCTTAACCGACGCATAGATTGTTTGTACTTACCCCGCCATGCTGGTCATGCACTAATGTAGACACCCAATAACGTGTAAAGAAAGCCTACCTTAGCATAGATTTCGTCTGAGGATTCTTGTAGAATTTTCAGCGTCGTCAGAGAAGGAGCCATGCGAATGCGTTTAGTTTCCGACAAATACTTGCCGGTCATTGGATCTTGAAGAGCAGCAAATGGCACCATGAACAGGGGACCGTCGGGGATGATGACCACCTCGTCGTGGGTCAGCTGGTTAATAACTGGAGAAAGAAGTCTACGGGAAAGCACTTCGAGAGGCTCAATATCATCTTCGTCGTCCGTGGAAGCACACCATCTTTCAACCTGTCGAAAAACTGTTAGGGCAGTTTCACTAGGCTTTGAAGACTTTGTAACGCCTTCAGACTCCCCGTTTTCATTTTCTAGTACGTTCATCGATCGGTCATCGCATTTCATTCCTTCTTTAAGACGCAGCTGGCGAAAACTGTTGTCAACAAGATATTGAAAATATCCCGTCTTCATGTTTGTTTTATCATCTTCAGACAGACTCGACAGCGTTGTTGCCAAAGCTTTGATGTTGTCTTTGGGACTTTGGGGTGATATGATCCAGCAATCATAAGTTACCTTGTTAGCATCAAGATTGTAAAAAAGAATGCAGGCTTCACGATGAAAGGAAATTGTCTTGACATCTACAAGTTCTAGTGCTTTTGATTCTGTTTTCTCAGTTGCATTTGTGTGGTTTTTAAGGAACAAAAGATCTCTCAAACCACGTGCTCGCCCATGTTCACACACTAAGAGAGCTTCTTCGCTTTGTCCAGTTTTAATTTGAACTTGGCTGAGCATCTTGTAGGCTCTGATAAATGTATCGACAAATGAAACCTTGAATTGGTCATTGTCTTTTAAATCATGAAACAATTTCTCGTAGCATTGTATGCTCTTCTGTAGATGTTCTTTTGATTTGTTGAGGTCTTTAATGCTCGATTCTTCCTCATATGCAACACCTGAAATAGAAAGACGATTACTTTAAATTGGACTAATTAACCTTAACATTGACTTTATTACTCTAATATTAAATTTTAGTCAGAAGAAGTTTTGATACTAAAATGATAATTCCAACGCGTCTTTGCACAACAATCAACGCTTTATCAATATGACCGATAGAATATATTATTTGATTTTAGTCAGCAATGCTCCTGATTTTATTATGTAATATTGGATACTAAAATGATTATATATTCAAACGAATGTTTACATCACATTATATCCGACTTTTGATTGACAAATCGGTGCGGCCAATACGTTTTCGTGAAAGTCTTTGATCTGGAACAAGTCCATACTGGCAACATCAATAGAATAGCAGTTATATCAATATCATCATAAATATTCATTATAATAATCCAGTAGAATTGAATACAGAGTTTCTCGTGCTCTGATTGGTTGCAGAGCATGATTATTAGCCGATAAACACCTCGAGGTTAACATAGGATTTTCGGAGTTTTGCTTTGTGTTGTTAAAACTATTATTTTTTAATTATTTTCAATTAACAAATTCAACAGCTAAATATTTTTTTTTACAAAAGTAGCAATATAGAAATATTCTTGGCTTGGTCTTCATAAAAATAATTATACGCTATTCATCGCCTTGGATAGTGATAATAATCTACTAATAATGAATCAATAAATGTATATTAACTGAAAAATTTCTAAGAATACATTTCAAGCATATATTTACGTACCTATATTATGATGGGTTTGTGCTTCTCCTTGTCTGTCACCAATCTCTTTAGCTATGCTTAGTCTCTTTTTGTGATATTCAATCGCCTTGTGATATTCTCCTAATGAATAATAGGTAGTCCCTAAATTTCCATAAGTATCTCCTTCTCCCCGTCTGTCACCAATCTCTTTAGCTATGCTCAGTCGCTTTTCGTGATATTCAATCGCCTTGTGATATTCTCCTAATGATCTATAGGCAATCCCCAAATTTCCATAACTAACTCCTTCTCCCTGTCTGTCACCAATCTCTTTAGCTATGCTCAGGCTCTTTTCGTGGTATTCAATCGCCTTGTAATATTCTCCTAATGAATAATAGGCAATCCCTAAACTTCCAAAAGCAGCTCCTTCTCTCTGTTTGTCGCCAATCTCTTTAGCTATTCTGAGAATCTTTTCGTAGTATTCAATTGCCTTGTAATATTCTCCTAATGAATAATAGGCAGTCCCTAAATTTCCATAAGTAGCTCCTTCTCCCTGTCTGTCACCAATCTTTTTAGCTATGCTCAGACTCTTTTCGTGATATAGAATCGCCTTGTGATAATCTCCTAACGATTCATAGGCAGCCCCTAAATTTCCATAAGCATTTCCTTCTCCCTGTCTGTCACCAATCTCTTTAACTATGCTCAGTCTCTTTTCGTGGTATTCAATCGCCTTGTGATATTCTCCTAATGAATGATAGGCAATCCCCAAATCTCCATAAGTAGCTCCTTCTCCCTGTCTGTCGGCAATCTCTTTAGCTATGCTCAGACTCTTTTTGTGATATTCAATCGCTTTGTGA